TACACACACACCCGGTGTCCCCTTAGTCCCACTAGAGGGTTTGAATTTCCCGCCAAAGTGTTATAGGTGGATACCAGGATCCTCAGTCCTTTTGTTTAGGGGGAGCTAAGCTCTGTCCTGTAACTGCGAACCCCTAGTGGCGGTCCGTGTACACAACACCCGCCTCTGGTTGCTGTGTTGCCTCTCTTTCATTTTCCTCTTATCGGCAGCAAACAAGCCCCGCCTCCAGTCCCACGCTGCTACTCTTTTGTCACCGGCAAAACAAATAAGCAAGCCCTGACTCCATTCCCACGCTGCTGCCATGATTTTCTCTCTTGCAATTGCAAGCAACCTCCTGCCATCTACATCCCTCCATTTCCCAAGCCAGCAAGTCAAGCCCCGCAGGTGGGCTGAAGTTTACTCACTTGCTTTGTTTTGCATGGGGGGGATGCCAGACTCCAGGCAGGACCTGGGGATCCCCTCCCCTGAATTACTGTTTAAAAATCCCAACAATCCCAACAAAATTTCATGCTTTTTTTTTTTTAAAGGACAAAGTTCATGGTATGGGTATGATTTCCTTGATTTTATTTGTCTGCTGATGCTTTGGAGAGAGCAGCTGGATTTCCCCCCAGTTTTGAACTTAGTGCCTTATCAGCTCAAGGATACAGTGAGGACTAATAGCTAAAAAATGCAGTTTATGTTTGAAGACTCTGGATTTCATGGTGTAATCTGGTCAAGCACACTTGGAGGCATAGATGGTATGATTTTTTTTTCTGTCTTCAGTAACACATACCACGTTTTATTGTCAGGAAATGGACAAATTACTTGTCTTTATTATTTATTTATTATTTTAAAGTATAAGTATAAACAAAAATTGCCCTACAAAATGAAAAATCCTGGCTACGGGCCTGGGTATAAATCCTAGAGTATAAAACACAGAGTGGTTTTTCCTTTAGTTTTATATCAACCCATGCCAAACTATTAAGCTATCTGAAAATCATTAGGTTCCGTATGAATAAATGAGTACATTGAGGTATCTAGAATAGATCCATAATCCTTAGCCAAGCTCTGTCTTTGGGATATAGTGAGAGCAGGGTTGCCAATGTCCACATGGGGCCTGGAGATCTCCTGGAATTACAACTGATTTCCAGACTGCAGAGATCAGTTCCCTGAGAGAAAACAACATCTTTGTGGGTGGACTCTGTGGCATTTCATCCATGCTGAGCTCCCTCCCCTCCCCAGGCTCCACCCCCAAGTCTCCAGGAATTTTCCAAGCTAGAGTTGGCAACTCTAAATTGGCAGCTCTAAAGTTTCCCTTCCCTCAGGATGCTAAGATTATTTTTCCATGGAAAAGGGGGAGGTCAGAATGCTACCTGACAGTCAGCATTTCAATTCTCCCATCCTCCCAGTATAGGATATTTGTCTGCAGCAACTCTTTGCATTCTGGCTGCTACCATCATACGAATACCAACAACTACTAGCACTTTACTAAGATTTTATAATTTGTTTTAATTGCCACTTATATTTTTAATGTAACTATCTGCTTTTATATAAGCTGCCCTGAGCTGGCTCCGGCTGGGAGGGTGGGGTAAAAAAATCTGAAAAATAAATAAATAACTGAACACACACCCCCGCGGTGGGTGGGCATCAGAGCCATGCATCTCAGCCAGGAGGAAGTGCTGAGAGGCATTGTGTGACTCTCCTTCAAACTGAGCTAGGTGACATCATTGGGTCGTCCACATAACTGTTTGAGTTGTACACCCCTATATGACACCTTCGTCCTCTTCCCTCCCTCAGAGGCAAGATTTTTGTTCCCTTTTGTGACTGAGCCACCTCTAACTTATACAATTTAAATGACACTCAAGAAGTTTTTATATTCCAAATTAACAAAATATTTTATTCAACATAGAGGGAAAAGGTCAGGTGAAATCAGCGAGTGAAAAATGTTATGGAGATCATTTACCACAAGTGAAGCAGGAAGCCATGTTCTATCCAACGAGAGATATCAAATTAGGTTTCTCTTTACCTAATACCAGTGATGTTTTGCTTTCATAATGGAGTTTCAGAATATGTGCTATGTTTGCATATATTACATGCACAAGAGAAAGAATACCTACACAATTGTTCTTCAAAAAATATTATACTGAAGGACAGGAAGTGAACTCCAATAGACATGGGATATTCAAAATATACATATTCCCCATGAACAACTCTATACAACTATGTTTTAATTAACTTCTGAGTGACAGTTTTTATTCCTGAATTAATCCTATTCTGAGATGAAAAACCCAAGAAAACTGCTATGTATGTTTGATGTTTTATTTGAAAGCTTAAAAGAGAAATTTAACAACTTCTCTGATTCTTTGATCTTTGAAGAAATACTCAGTAAAATTATGATCAAAGTAATTAATATTACTTAACAACAAATCATCTTAAGGCAAAAATAAGTATTCTGTTTAATCCACGCAATCAATTACATTTTACAAATCTCAATCTGTTAGAGGCAGGACTTCACTTAAGGGTCTTTTTCTCCAAAAGGTCAACAGAAAGTCACCAATAAAAGAGAGCCACTTATTAGGATGTAATGTGATGTACACTATATGAATTAGATGATACTGTGGCTTAAGTCCTACTCTTTAAGGTAGACCTTCCCCACCTTCTGCTTTCCTCAGCAGCCCCATACAACTCCCCAAAAGTAGACAAGTAGAGAACCCTCACAGACAAAATGTCATGTGGCACGGGAGGGCTTACAATGAGAAAGGGGCATTGGTTAAGAAATCATCCCCTCCATTAGGCTATTTAATCTGATATACTGCATGACACATTACCCTTGAGAGTTCCCCTACTTGCGGTGTTGGCTTTTGGGGATTCACAGGGGACTGCTGTGGGAAGGGGAAGGCCAGGAAGTGCCTTGTACTTGCAGTTTGCAGGACCCAGGCCCATTTGGGGAATTTATGTCTGGTGATCAGAAGGTGCAGCTCTTTCTATTTTTCTAGACGCAACAAGCTACATAAGACACACTCAATGACTTGCCCAAAAGAAATCTTGACTTTTTCCCTTGAATATGGCCTTTTGTAGCCATACCACAAAATTCTTTTGAAAAATCCAGTTTGAAAAATGTTTGCCATATAACACAGGGAATTGAAGCTTGAGAAAGGGAGATCCAAATATCAAACTGACATGCTGGGAAAACATGTAATTAACTGCCAGATATAATAAAGACAAAAAGAATCGGATTTCAGGATACAAAAACAGTTCTAGATAAAATATGGTTGTCCTCAAGTGACAAGATGATACAGAAACTGTACAATTTTCTTCTCCAAGACTATCTACAGGATGAATTAGTGAAAGTCCCAATGATATCCTGGATGTAAGATTTTGGATATAACATAGACATAGATGATTGGTCCAAAATATAGAAATAAAATATACACGAGCAATACCATATAAGGAAAATATATACAAAATGTTTTTTAGGTGGCACTGGTCACCAGATAAAATAGTGAAATGCTATTCAAATGCATCCAAAATTTGCTGGAAGTGCAAACATAGTGTTGGCACCTTCTACCACATGTGGTGGAGGTGTAATACAACACAAAGCTACTGGCATAAGATACAAAAGTACATATTAGAAATTATAGGCATAGAGCTACCATACAAACCAGAAATCTTTTCGTTAAATATTTTACCAGATAATTATAAAAATAGCAGACCAATATGTATTAACATATATGTTAACATCGGCTCGTATTATATTTGCTAAATGTTGGAAACAGGAAAAAATACCCTCGAGAGATGAATAGATTAATAGAATGTTGGACATTGCAGAGATGGATAAATTAACATTAATTTTACAAGGAAAAGACGACAATGTGTTTAAAGAAAGATGGCAAAGATTTTATTTGTGGTTAGATAACAAATGTTAATATAGACTCACGATATTGTATATACTTTAATGTAAGTGGTACATAGAGTATGTATGATGTAAAAAAAAACTTTATAAAAAGAAAGGGAGATCTGAAACTTTCTTAGGATCATAAAACTACTCATGCTCTTTGTTGTCATGGAGGATCCCTATAAGCCACTCCATTAAATCCCAGTGATAAAAAAAAAATGATAGGGTAATTTGAACCATGAGTACACACAGTGTACATAATTTCTTTCTACACTAATCAGCGTAATCAATATTACAGTCAATAGCAGTTGTCAAAAGTCACCTATTCCCATATTCTCTAACAGTGAATGATTAGGGGGGAGATGCTACTCTCTCATTACAAACTCGGTGGATGCTGTTATCAACATGCTCTCAAATTGGACACAAAAATATGCTCCAATTAAATGAAAATCGATTGCTGTTAAGCATGGCAGGTAGCTCTGACTAATCTGGATTGACACCATCTCTGTGACTCGCAAAATGTTGTACTGCACCAATAGTATTAAGGAATCATAATATATTCTGCATTGCCTGACTGAAATTCTGTGTAGACAGCCAAGTACAACCCTTAGAGCTCAAGTGAATCACTTAAGCAAGCACACATTCATCATATTTCTGGCACGCCTACTGACAGACCATCTTTTCATTTCAGTTGGGAAAATTTAAATTATCTTCAGCAAAACTGTACATGCTATTTTTTAAAAAAACACCACAAATTCTAATCTGGCTTTGACTTGGTTAGCATGAGCTGTTTCGAAATGCAAACACTATTTCCAGGGCACTGAACCATTTTAAACCCTGTCCAATCTGTAGGACTCAGAGCATGGAGTGTAACAATTCAGTACTATGAGAAGGCAGCAGTCTTATGGGCTGCAGTAAATATTATAAATTACAGAAAGTTGCAATGGCTTGATGCAGCCTTCCCTGGTCAGCTGACATACATTAGGACCTGCCCCCCCCCCCCCACAAATCCTAGTGAACTGCATGGAAAACCTTCAGTTTTACTATGCATACAATAGTTTTTGAAGACTTCTTCACTTCTTAGACCAAACACAAATCATGAACTGTTCTACTGAGAACTGCTTACCTGATTAAAATGCTGCAGTTTATCAATTAAGGTGCGGATGTGCGGGTCTAGTGCTCTGACTTTCAGTTCTGGGTTATTAATTTGTGCTTTCAGTCCATTGGTGACCACTCTGCTAGTATAACTGTAACAGAAAGTGAAATGAAAGATTGCAATTAGAGAAAATGTCTTTAATTTTTCAAAGTGAAGACTTTGGAAAGACTGCAAAAGTCAACTAAAAGAACAAAAATTATCAGTTTTTGAAGTGAGGTAGAGGTGTTCTCTCTCTCTCTCTCTCTCTCTCTTATCCTATGCTGCTAGAATATGGTATTAAATTGGAAAGCTGAAAGAAGCCAGGCAAACACATAGATTCTAGCATCAGGTGACTCAAAAATACCAGTCTGGCAGAGTATAAATCTTGGAGAAACCACAGTTGCCAGTCCAATCTTTAGCACAACATTAGGTCAGCCTAATGCAGTGTCATCACCTTGGCAACAATGACCCCATGTCATGAGTCCAACTGGGAGACCAGGATGTCTCACAAGGGTTTTTCATGAAAGAAGACATTTGCACAGCTTATGTGAGCATATTTAAATCCTTCTGGCCTGTTGGTAGAAGAGGAACAATCTGTGAGGCAATGCCACAGAAGCTCACCCCTGAGGGAGAAGAGGACAGGATGAGGTGAACCCCATTTCCTCCCAATCCTGCCATCAAGAGAAAGAGAAATACTGGTGAAAATCTGCTTGAGTCCTGTGGAAACAAAAGGGTGGGGCATTAATCTTACCCTCCCAAGTGGAAGTTGCACTTGCAAACTGGGCAGGAGGTGGAGAGTGTTGTGTACAATAAGAAACACACACAAAAAGGCCTTGAGTGGTGAGTTGGATTTTAGAAAATCTTCAGAACTGCTGAATCAGTCCTACTGGTTCTGGCTTGCCAGAACCCTGATTTCAATATTATGTTTTCCTAACCAGTTCAACTGTCACTGCTGGGAGAAAAAGTCTTTTCCTTGACTCCAAAACTATTTTTTCCTACTTGGGAAAAATGAAAGTGCTCGCTCTCTCTCTCTCTCTCTCTCTCTCTCTCTCTCTCATTCTCTAAAAAGGTACAGGATGTTTATTGCAAGGATGAAAGTGGAGAGGATGAAAGAGTGCCAAATAATAAAGAAATGGATGAAAGGGTTGTTTTACTGTTTCGTTTTTAGGTTCAAATTAAAGCACCAAAATAAATAGAAGCAAACAAGAGCCTGTTTAGACATGTATAGTCCCCCTTGAGTGCAGTACAACTACAGCTCTGGAAGTCGTCTCCAAACTGATCTCCAAACAGTTAACATATTTACCTTATTCAAATAACCAGTAACACTTTGTCTCAGCAAGTCTCTTTTTAATGGATAGCATCAGTTGGTTTGGCTACAACGTTTCTATTATATGGGCTCATTCGATAAGTTTAATTAATTGTTTACTTTGTTGACATACCGCCTTTCTCCCAATGGGGACCCAAAGCAGCTTACTTCATCTGTGTTAGTCTGAGTGTTGTGATCCTGGCCACCGCGTGAGGCTGGCGACCTTTGAAGTCTTTTGCTAAGGTAGCTGCTTCTGTGACAGGATAGGGCAAAAATAGAAATAAACTAAAAAATAAGGAGCCAGTTAGTAAGCTATGTATTTCCGCTTCTTTGGTGAAAGAATGGCTGAAAACTTTGAAACATGCCCAGCCAATACTGCCTGTAAACTGAAAATCATTGCAGCCAATCTTATTAATGCATCAGACAAAAAAAAAGTGCTGCAAAAGGGCCTGGTGCAAAAATAGGGTAAATAGGGCTCTCTTTTCACTTGCAAAGAGTATATTGGCTTTATTCCAGGGAGAGCTGTGAATCATAATATTTTGATGGGTATTGATCATCATCATCCCTTATCCCATTCTGGCACACAAAGAAAAGAAGGGTTCTGTGAAGATGAGATGAGGGAAAGGCACCAAGCGGTTCTTTGGGATTACCTTGGGAGCAATGTTCCCTCTAAGCTGTGGAGTTTTGTGAGCAAAAATTCTACTTTGTGAGCTATTGACATTAAACTTGTGAGGGAGCAATTTGGCTACTGCATAAATTAGTTTGCTCTGAAGTCATCATTCCTGAGCTAAGACAAAAATGTGTGAGCCAGAGGCTAAAAAACTGTGAGCTAGCTCACACTAACTCAGCTTAGAGGGAACACTGCTTGGGAGTGTGGCTCAGCATGCAAAAGGGGGGAACAGAGGAGTTCCATACCACCTGGATAACTGATTGTCGCTGCACTCTGCACACTTGGCCCAAGCACTGATTTCAAAGCAGGAGCCCTTACATCTTACACTAATCAACTTGTTCTCAAGTGACACCAACAACCAAGCTACTACCAGCAGAAACCCTAGGAAGAGGGTCTTGCTTGCCATACTGTATATGGGGTGCATGCTAGGATTGACAGGCTGCATCTGGCAATCAGCAGGAGGCTTGGTGGTGGAGACATGGAGGCCATGATGTCCTGTGTGCTGCTATGTCATATCTGGGGAAAACCAGCATAGAGTAGCTCTGGGAATCTCCAGAAACTCTATGGTAACTATATAGTTTCCAGCAATTCCTAGCGCTAGCCCATGCCACTTCTGCATTTCCCACGGAAGTGATGCAGTGGCATAGATGACACCGGTGGTTTTTCTTTTTTAATTCTCCCACTGTTGCTCTGAATGGTGAAGGGTGAATAGAGCTGCCAGGGGGAGAAATCCCACTGTAGCTGGAGTCCTAGCAGCCCTGGTGCATCATGAAATTAACCCTTGGGCCATGACTGAACATCTAAAGAAAACTGTTGTAGTTGGGCACTATGATGGAATAGGGCAGTAAGGATGGCTGTAGTGGCCTTTGCAATACAGTCCTTGTAAGTGCAGTGACCTTTACAAGCACAATTACATCCTTCTAAGTCCATTGAAGTCAATAAGCTTAGAAGAGTGTAACTTTGCTTGAGTCTGCACTGTTAGTGAGTTGTTTGAAATACCAGAACAAACTTAGTTTCTGTAGTGTATCTGCAAAAGTCTGACATATTCAAAAGAGCTCTCCAAGTGAGTTCTGCTTGCAGGACTACGGGCTAGAGGTTATTCCTTAAAAGTGTTACAAAGTATACAAGCATCCCTTGTCACCTCCTCTGATTGCTCTCATCATTTAATGGCTTAGAACATCGATCAAATAATCAGAACATCATAGTCATAAAACAAAATCACAGACCTTTTTTTAAAAAAGCAAAATATAACCAAATGTGTGACAGTACCTTTAAGCACCTCACTGGAGAGGATTTACTAATTTTCCAACTCAATGAACCTGTGAGGGATTTTCACTATCTGATGGTAGAAATCTCACCCAAATTTAATTATGCATCTAGATCAGCAGCACCTTTCTCATAGCACATATTGAAGGTCTTCATATAAATTATGTGTGGTTGGCTGATTGTGTGTGTGTGTGTAGTCCCTTCTTTCTTTTGTGCAAGTGTTTTGTAACATTTTCTCCCTTTATAAAAGAATCAAGAAATAAGAATGCTCAACAATGTTAATACTATAAAAAGACTAGAGAAATCAGCTGATTAGACCTAAAGATACTGACATTATTAGGCAAAACCAAGAGGAAATGGTTTTGCCATGCACCTGTTTTGAGGAAGCCTATTTACAGACACTACAGAGAACCATTCTCCAAAAGGAAAGCCATTCACATAGACCATTAAAACATTTCTCTCTCACACTGTATTAAGTATTCTACCAGTTTAATGATATCAGTATTCAGAGTTGGAAAGAACAGAATTAACAATTTATAGTATACAATCTAAACAGGATTACTGCAGAGATCAAAGGACTGCAGAGGAAACAGGACTTCACCCCACCCCCATACACACCTTAAAACGGACTGCTATTCTTCCTTACATCTTCTCTACTGGGCCTTGGGAATATCTCCCAGTACGTTTCCACTTGTCATGGCATCAGGAGTTAGTGATGGGAAAGCCCTCTTTAGTTTCCACCGTAATTAGCTCAGGTTTTCTAAGCTTTAACGAAGCAACTCAAAACCCAAGAGTTCTCTGCAAGAAGCTCAGGAAAAACAAAGCCCAATGGAGATCATCCCCTTTCCCCAGCCATGGGTTTTCCTTCTAATCTGCTAAATGGGCTAGGTAACAAGTAGGGCTAGTGCAGGATCTTTAAGGCCTGTTGAACATACCATGGACTGAGCCAGGATCATTGCCCGCCCACCCCTTGAATGAAACACAACACAACTTATGGGTTAAACTGGGAGTTTTATTTATTTATTTAACTATACATCTGCACCAACACATTAAAGTACGGGTTGCATTAGGCTTGCCACACAAACCTCCTAGCAGGGCAACCCCACCCCGGCTCAGAGCCAGGTCTGGCATCCTTCCAGACCTTACTCGTCACGGCCCGCACGCCAGTGCGTAGAGGGGAAGGAAAAGCACATTCCAGCCCACGGCTGCGAAGCCTTAAGGCTTGTCATATGCTCCTCCCACCCCAGAGAGGCCCCCAACTGGGTCACCCTGACTGCCAAGCCTATAGGCACCCAGTATGAGGAACCCCCCCATTGCTTATATCTCAGGGTGCTTGCCAATTCAACATCCCTTCAACCCGTGCTTTTCCCACCACAGAGGGGGTTAGCCTTGGCTTAACTCCCCTCCCGCCAACCATGACCCACCAGTCACCCAGGCCACTGTGCAGATCAGCTCGGCAAAAGACCAATCCGGTTACATCCACCCTGCTCTAGAACGGGTGCGGCACCAAAGGCCTGATCCCAGGGTGGAGGCTGCCAACCCATTGCCCCAATCGTTGCCACCAAAACACATGACCACAACCGGGGGGGCACTCCTGCCCACTGACGGTCATCTGGAGCCACTGACCACTATACTGGTGACCTCAATCCTCATGCCACCTCCTGCAAAACACTCCAACATCCACCAGCACCCGTAATTGCCATCCCACGGCCCTCCAAGCCGTTCCAATGCCGTTGAGTGGGTATCAACATAATCCACTCTGCCCTCCATCCAGGCCACCCATTTGGCCACCATGACCCCTAAAAGCCGCCTAGTGCCAGGCGCCTGTGGTGCTCCCATGTCTATCCCCCCCGTGTCCCCACCCTGAGTTCCCCCAGATTACCCCCCATCCTGAGCTAACTTGCCACTGACTCTGGTGCCCCCTAATGGCCTTGGGCCCTGGGTTGCTCTCCCTCAGTGGCACCCTCATCACATGAGGATGCAGGGTGTGAACCCCCACATGTGCTACAAGCATGGTTAAACTTGCAGGGCTTTCTTGAGCAACGCCCCCGGCATTGAAGCCCCAGCAGATGGGATGGGGTGGAACCCTCCGCTTTTCTCCCACCTCCTTCCCCACTTCCGAGTGCAAATGGGCCACCATATGTCCACTGTCAGCATACCTGCCTGCAATGGCCCCCACAGGGCCCATTGTGACCAGAGTTAATGGTGTTCCTGATCCCATGGCAGCGAGGGGTCCAAGGCCACTCGAGAGCAAAAACGCTCATCGTAACGCAGCCAAGCAGCCCCGGAATATTCCCTATATGCCCTGTGGATGAGGTCCTGATACTTTACCAATGCTGAACCCTGTTCTGGGTAGGCCTGCGGCACCACCCCCATATAAATGGTATAAGCTGAAAGCCAATAGTCAAAGTTCTTGTCAATTTGCATCCACTTTATTTTCTCCAACTCCCTGGGGTCATCCCTCACACTTGCTTTCAACTCAACATCCCTAAAGAGGAGCGTGAACATGTCTACATACTCACCCCTCTAGATTTTCTCTCTTGCGGCTGGCAGCAGGTGATCCCCCAGTGGGAGAGATCTTTCCATGGAAGCATAGGGCAGGTTCACTGCCGCATCCCGTTGCCCCCTGCCCCAAGACGGTGCCTGCCCTGTAGCCCCAGATGGCGCACTTGGCACAGGCATAACCTCAGAGAGTACCATGCTCGATGCCCAGGATAGCACAGGACCTCGGCCCCTTGCATTGAGCGCCCCCACTGTGAGCCCCTGAACCCCTCCCCCTACCTGGGAGGGCACCTTGGTGGCTGGTGCCGGTGGAGCCCTGACAGCAGAACCAGCTCCCATGGGACTGGAAATCTCATCGCCCAACACCTGTGTATCCTCCTCATCCTTGGACTCCTGCAGCTGTGCTAATCTGGCATAGAGAGCCTGCCTTTCCCATTTGTGAGCTGCGGCTCTGGCACCCCCAGGGGGGGTGGCCACCACTGATGTGCCAACTTCTGCATGCTTCCGTTTCTCTGCCTTGGCCCGCTCCAGGGCCTCGATTTTTGCAGCCAGGTCCTGCAAGGAGCCCCCCCTCATCCTCGGAGGATGAGATGGCTGGTGGCACCCATCTGGGAGCCTTCTTGGCCTGGCCGACCTTCATCCGTGCCCTCTTGGTTGGCATACCTCCCGTAAAGATGAAGGAAACAAAGAGGAGAGAGTGTTAAACCAAGTACCCCCTATGAATTCTGGAGCCTTCTAAATCCCCACCACCCCAGACTCTGGTTCAACAAAGCCCAGTACCGTCCCCACCAACTGGCTCTGTGAAACTGGTCCCCCCAAAGCCCGATGGTGGGGAAGAACACATGCAACTGCCTTATACTGAATCAGCCCCCTGGTCCTGGTGAGAGAGAAAACCTGCAGCCACCTTATACTGAGTCTGACCACTGGCCCAGATGCAGCTGCCTTCTACTAAATCATACCCCGGTCCTGGTGGGAGAGAACACATGCAGCTGCCCAATACTGAATCAGACCTCTGGCCCCCTAGGGAGAGAACGCATGTAGTTGCTCAATACCCAATCAGATCCCTGGCCCTACGATCCTCTGGTGGGGATGCAGCCGCGCTGCCCAACACCTCAGTATCCCCGTGCTCTTTAAGGAAACCTGGGGGATATGGCTTTAGCTGCGGACAACCAACAACCTAGAAACCAACACACATACCCCCCCAGATGGAAGAAGGCAGTGATGGAATAAGATGATCCTTGCTAGTCTGCACTGGCCCTGCCGCTAGTGCTCAAAGGAAGGTGATGCAAAATCAAGTGCCCCGTCTCCAGACGCCCCTAGCCGGCTCGCAGAGGAGAGAGGTGGGTGTGGATCCTACCATGCACCCGACACTGAGCTGCCTAACCGACCGATAGGCCGGGAGTTTCTAAGGCTGCGGCCACAAGTATAAGAGGCCCAAATCAGCCTTAGGAGGGTCAAAGGATGCGGTAGGTGCCAGCAAAAATGACTACAATGGGAAACCACCCTGATGCAGGTAGGGGTGGGCGCCTCCACAGTAGCTTGTGGAGGCCTGAGTGACCTAACAAGACCTGGGTAGGGAGGGGGGGCTGCCGGGGAATTACCACCCCAACAACCCTGGATGTCAGAAGGGGTGGGCGCCGCTGGGATCCCAGACACCCGACGAGCCTCACTGCCCCTTGCCAATATGTCTCCCAATCCGAGGGAAAGGCCCTACTGTCCCCGCCGCCACTGCAGGCCGATCTCAGGGGCGAGAAAACAACGGAAAATGGCTGAAAAATGGGGCTTTGAGGGTAGCAATGAAGGCACCCGGCAAGACCACCCCCTGAACCCTCCCAACCGAGTCCCCCAAAACCTGTTAGCTCGGTCCTCCGCCATGTGGGTGCCTCCGCCGCACAGCTTGCACAGCTCCCGTCCACCTTGGAGCTCACGCTGGGCTGATCTGAGCACAGAGGGCGGCTGCTCGCCCTTGATTGGCCCATGGTCCCGCACTGAGCCAGAATTGGCTTGCTCCACTCACCTGGTTCATTCAAGAAGGGGGGGCAGGCAAACATCCGCGCCTGCTCCAGGGGCAGTCACGGCTCTTTCCTAGACTACCCAGTGGCAACAGACACATTAAAGATGAGGCCTTTGCTAAAGCCCCGCTCCCACTGACACCATTATCTCTTGCTGAAGGTGCAAACCAGCTATTTGAAGCAGGGTAAGCTGTTATAAACCTGGCTCAAACTTCAGGATAGCTTGGACTCAGCCCATAATGTCACCTTGGTACCTGGAGTAATTGGTTTCTGAGCCTTGGCTAACTCTGATTTTCAATGTCATGACTGTCTAAAATCCATTAGCAGTGTTCCCCAGACCTCCTATTTCCTCTGCATGACTTTCAGTTGCATGGATGCTCAGTCAGTGGCCTTTCTCATGCAGCTGTGACATTTTGTGGACGGACTCATTGACCAGGTCATTTCCTGGATGGACTCATGCATCCCTTCCCATCTCCCACCTGCATGGGCCCCACCTGCCCTACTCATGGTCACATCCACCCACATGCCCTTTCCTTGATGGCACTGGGCAGTGTGTGTGGCTAGGAATGCCATCATTGTGACCTCCAGCACCACTGGCGTGCACCATCCATAAACCCTTCCCTGCTGGCAATGGGCAGAATGAGCAGCCAGGAACATGGATGGCAGAGTGCCCACAAGCCAAAGGGCAGGGGAATGGCCCATAAGTGGGAGGCAGGTGAAATACATGGGTGGGGGATTGGTGACAATACAAATATGCAGCTCAATCAGCCTTCAAGTGTGGAGATGGTAAGGAGTGCACCCCCAATCTATAGGAGACACATACTGAACATAAATAAAGATAGTAGTCATGCTGTGTGAAAATCAGTTCTGCTGTTTGTAATGTTGGTTTTTCTTCTCAGGGCAACCTCCACATACTCTTGCATTACTGATATGTTCGCAATTTTAAATGAGTTGCATTATTTTGAGTTGATATGTGAGTTTTGCACCTGCACAGTTTGTGACACTTGTCATTCATAACCACACGTGAAAAATGGAAGGTAGTGGCTGTTAGTGCATGCTCAGAATTTACTGGATTGCTAGTGAAGTCGCGTATGCCCCAGGGGCAGGGCATGCATCATTTCAAATAGCGTTTCGTAGGTAAGTGTTGCTTTCATGTCTGTGCAGTTAGCAGCCTAGGCAACTAGCTGGTAGCCCCTGATGACACATGTTCTGAATCACAGAGTAAGTTGTCCTGATACATGGCATACACAGAGCATAGCACACAGTGGCCTGGATCCACTGGAGTGTTTCCATATTTGGAAGAATTTCTGCCTGAGTTTTATGAGTTTGTCACTTTCCCTCCCAGTTCAGCCCAAATCTCTCTCCCGGTGCTTTTCCTAGGGAATGCCCAGATGCAGCATTTTGGGCGGCAGTGGGAGAGAGGCAAGAAAGCGGCGCTCTGCAGGAAGATATCCTTCCATCCATGGTATTGTCTGTCCATTGCAACTCTTTTTTGTGTGTGGAGGCAACCACAGAAAGACTGCTCAAGGATCAGTCATTTAAAGACTGTTACCCTACGAGTTACAGAACTAAGGATGCTTGAAATAATAGCCTTAAAGTATTCATGAGTAAGTAGTAATATAAATGAAGGAGTATGGTATCCGTGGGAGGAATAAAAGGACTACCATGGTTTTAAAGAAATATTGAGCAAAAACATCAGGGGATGACAAGAGAAAGGGGTACAGGACCAAGCAAAAAGATATTTTTTAAAAAACAATGTATTTGGCATCACGGTCAAGTTAATAGGAGGGCTCCAACTTTCCAGAATAGCAAATCACGTGAAACCATACAAAGTATTTCCAGCTACTTTCCAGTCAACAATGCAGCTTACTGGCAGTATTATAAATGTCTGCACCCCGTGTTTACACAAGCATTAAAGGTGATTAAAACAGTAGAACAATATGACAATACTTAAATCCCATAGTGCTGTGGGGCTCCACTATATTGGGGGGGGGGGGATGGCAGAGCATAGGAGGCTCCAAAGATTAGATCTTCTTTCCTTAAATAAATAAATAAATAATATGCCCACGGTATAAATTTCATAGCAGGGAAGAGAGAGTGAAAATCAAGTAGAATCCCATTATAGAAGGTTGATGTGTCTTCTTGGCAAGAAAAAGGGGGCAAGGTTCCAAATCCCTTTATAGAAAACCTGGTTGCGTAAATGTTGAAATTAGATTTGACAGATAGTACATAATTTACAGGGGAGGAAATTGATGATCCTTTTGAAGAACTTGTTCTTATTTGTATATTATCATGTGGATTTCAAAGGATCTTGGTTGTAGCTTGTTCAAAAATAAATCCCCAAATAAATAAACAAGGAAAAACACTAGTTTTGGCACATCAAAATCACTGTTTCAATGACAAGTGAGTTGTTCTGGTGTCAATAAGGGTGTTTTTGAGATGGAGGGGGAGGGGGGGAGAGAGAGAGAGAGAGAGAGAGAGAGAGAGAGAGAGAGAGAGAGAGAGAGAGA